GAACATTCCATTGAAGAATAGACATCGACAAAAGAGAAAGGACAGCAACAGGAAAACAATGAAGAAACAAAGATTAAAAGAACACGGCATGTTAAAGAAGCTCAGGATCTGGATCAGGGTCAGCAAAGTCAGGGTTAGGGGGGCATGGGTAAACTGAGTAAGGATGGAGGGAGGGGAGTGGGAGGACAGACCAGAAGCAGACGAGCAGAGTCCAAAGGAGGAGGAGGAGACAACCCAGGATCCAGATCAGCAGGAGGAGGAGGGGCAGAAACTGGGGAGTGCACCTCAGCAAGGGCAGCAACCGAATGCGAGCAACTGAGGGCCAAAGAAACCTCCAAAGCAGGAACAGAGGGCTCTACCACAGAAACAGAAGGGGATTGAGCGATAGAGTCAGTGGTGGGGGGTGAGGAAGAAAGCGAAGCCTTCTTGCCCGCTGGGGAAGAGAAAGGAGATGAGCCAGGCTCACGCTTCTGACTCAAAGAGACAGGTGTTCCAGCAACAACATACTGGGCAACAGACTCAAGCATCTCAACAGGAGAAGAAGAACGAGAGCGAACAACATGATGATCGATAGGAGAGTGATGGACAGCAGCCCACACAGACAGGCGGCGTGGAGAGCTAAGAGACAGAGGAGAAGGATGGGAAGGAGGATCTGAGGGAGATGAGAAAAAAGACACAGGAGACACGACAGACTGGGTAGAAAGAAGGGGAACCCCAGACAGAGAACCAGGAGGGGGGACCTTTCAGAACAGAACGTAAAGGAACTAGGAAGGAGACGGTGGGTGTGTCTGGGTCTAAGGCCTGGAAACGGTTGTGAGACCGAGGAAGGTGGGAAGGACGAGGAGAGGAAGAGCACAACAAGCGAGCATAAGAGACACCATCGAAAGGGGGGAGACAGCAAACTTGGCACCTCGCTACAGGAAAAGACAAACGTTCCCGGTGCTTCAAGTTGAGGACGGCTGCCTCAAGCTTGTAATGTATACACGCGTGGGAGAAGGTAGGGTGGGCCTCACTTCAAATGAAGCAGCGAGTCTGGGGAGAAGTGCACTTCGACTTAGAGTGACCTTCGTACCCACACAAGGGACAGAGAGAGACAGTGCTGGAGCATCGGAGGGCACCATGCCCGAACCTCCAGCACTTATTACAGAGCCGAGGAAAGGGAATGTACTCCTGAATGGAGCACCTGGCACCAGCAAGAATGACAGAGGGCAAAAGGGTTCGACCATCAATGGTAATTTTCACAACCCGAAGGGGCTGACGGCGACGACCACGAGGGGGACGAGTAAACATGTCCACCTGGAGGACAGAATGGCCCTGAGCTTCAGGGATATGCTTCATATCTTCGTGGCAGTCCTTTAGATTCCTAACACTGATTGCAACATGGTGCGAGAGGAGAATAGTGCCAACACTGGCATTTAATCGAGCATTCTTGGAGACCCAAACAGGGGCCTCGCCAATGCAGGATAAGGTGGCCAAGCAGGTAGCTGCATCCTCAGAAGGAGCAGCAATGACACATGAACCGAGACAGGTGGGGTTGAAAGTAACAGAGGCATCCACGGGATCAACAAGGTACCTATGGAGGGAAAATCGCAGGAGGAGTAGAATCTAAATGATGGAGGTCAAAGTACTTAGTCCACGTAGTAGGACCAAACAAGGTGTGGTACGAAGTAGTATGGGAAGGAATCATGTGAGTGCTGCCGCAGCAGGGACGACGGTTAGAACTGAAATGTAGCAAGGGATACAGAGCCCAGTCTTCCAACACAGTTTGACTCAGGGGCCTGGTTGCCCACCCCACGAGCCTGAGAAGTCATAAAAGAAACAGGAGTCATCGGCATGAAAACGAGAGGGAAGACTTTCATTCACGAATATGCCCCCACACTTACCATGGAGCCACAATTAGAGGACAGGACACCCAACAAGAGACATGTTGCCGGTTTTGCTAGGGCCTCCAAGGGGGGTGTCGTGAGTATACTCCCCACAAACGCCACCTTAAGAACTGTAAGTTCGTTGAGATCGGGTTCAGTGACGAAAGAAGGATTAACGAAAAAAGCTTCCCCTTGCTCACGAAGTTGGGTTCCACTGTTCTACAGGTGTGAGAGTATGCCTCCTCAAACACCCGAGCATCAAAGCAGAAGTCCAAAAGAATAATCAAGACTGGCAAAAGGTCAGAGGGAAATGACAATTAGAAAGGAGAAGAAGGGGGAAAATGAAACACAAGGGAAAAGGAAAAGAGATCTGGCACAATTGGAGAAGACAGCAGCAGGAGCATAAGGTCCCAAAAGGACAGAGGACTGACGCATGGAGCATCATACCCTGGCAACCTCCCACCAACCCTCCTTCACGACGACAATAGGCCGGACAGGGAGGGGGAGGGCATTAAAAGTATCAACACGAGACAGAACATGAAACAATGGGTATAATTTGGATAAGCAGACGAGGAGTCACAATAACATGGCTGAAATATGTTGACCAAACCACACACTAGAAAGTGAAGGGATGATGATGTTTGGTCCATCCTGGACCATTCTCAAGTCGATTGTGATAAACATAAACTGGATAAGTTTAGATTTAACAAAAAGACCTAGGTAAATACTGATTTGGTGTCAGGGTTGAATGCTGACGCAAGTGAGATATATGTTAGTTCATGCTCTGTGTTGCTCCCTTGTTTCATACGAATGGGAGATATAAATTTTCATCCATTCCTATGCCCAATAAACGATCCTTGGCTGGAAACTATAAATATAAAGCTTCCAGATAAGTAAGGGGGGACAAATAGGTCCTTCTGAATATTAATGGAGTGACATTATCGAAGTACATAAATGGAGATGAAAGGGTATATTAATTTAATATGGAATAGACCTACTGCAGTTCATCTTATAGTGGCAGTTGATGTTTTGGTTAACATAGATTGGAAGTAAATAGATCCTGCAAAAGGTCTTCTGTAATTTCAATCTCTTATGTTCAATATGCAATCTTAGCCAGAAAAGAATCTTTAAAAATGGGAAACAGTATGGAAATACGTTATTAAGGAAAACAGGCTTTATGTGGGAAGATGAATGCACCTGTGCTGGTCGGTGGGATAACGGAAAACACCCCAAACGGAAGGCGGGATTTTTATCCCCTTGATCGAAATTTTCAGGGAATTAAAAGACCAACAATCACTCGCCAGGGTAATGCAAAACAGCCCAGACAGGAGCCGGCCTCTCAATCCCTTTGAGCGAAATTTAAAATAACTAGAAGGCTAACAATCACTCGCTGAGGTAACGAAAACGCCCCCGGACAATGACTGTCCGTCTCCGAGGTAACAAAAAAACGCTCCTGGACAAAGAAAGGAAAAGGAAAGGAAAACGCCCCCAGACAATGACCGGTTGTCGCCAAGGAAAGGAAAACGCCCCCACACAATGACCGGTTGTCGCCAAGGAAAGGAAAACGCCCCCACACAATGACCGGTTGTCGCCAAGGAAACGAAAACGCCCCCAGACAATGACCGGTTGTCGCCAAGGAAAGGAAAACGCCCCCACACAATGACCGGTTGTCGCCAAGGAAACGAAAACGACCCCAGACAATGACCGGTTGTCGCCAAGGAAAGGAAAACGCCCCCACACAATGACTGGTTGTCGCCAAGGAAACGAAAACGACCCCAGACAATGACCGGTTGTCGCCAAGGAAACGAAAACGCCCCCACACAATGACCGGTTGTCGCCAAGGAAACGAAAACGACCCCAGACAATGACCGGTTGTCGCCAAGGAAAGGAAAACGCCCCCACACAATGACCGGTTGTCGCCAAGGAAACGAAAACGCCCCCACACAATGACCGGTTGTCGCCAAGGAAACGAAAACGACCCCACACAATGACCGGTTGTCGCCAAGGAAACGAAAACGACCCCAGACAATGACCGGTTGTCGCCAAGGAAACGAAAACGACCCCACACAATGACCGGTTGTCGCCAAGGAAACGAAAACGACCCCAGACAATGACCGGTTGTCGCCAAGGAAAGGAAAACGCCCCCACACAATGACCGGTTGTCGCCAAGGAAACGAAAACGACGCCAGACAATGACCGGTTGTCGCCAAGGAAACGAAAACGCCCCCACACAATGACCGGTTGTCGCCAAGGAAACGAAAACGACCCCAGACAATGACCGGTTGTCGCCAAGGAAACGAAAACGACCCCACACAATGACCGGTTGTCGCCAAGGAAACGAAAACGACCCCAGACAATGACCGGTTGTCGCCAAGGAAACGAAAACGACCCCACACAATGACCGGTTGTCGCCAAGGAAACGAAAACGACCCCAGACAATGACCGGTTGTCGCCAAGGAAACGAAAACGCCCCCACACAATGACCGGTTGTCGCCAAGGAAACGAAAACGACCCCAGACAATGACCGGTTGTCGCCAAGGAAACGAAAACGACCCCACACAATGACCGGTTGTCGCCAAGGAAACGAAAACGACCCCAGACAATGACCGGTTGTCGCCAAGGAAACGAAAACGACCCCAGACAATGACCGGTTGTCGCCAAGGAAACGAAAACGACCCCAGACAATGACCGGTTGTCGCCAAGGAAACGAAAACGACCCCACACAATGACCGGTTGTCGCCAAGGAAACGAAAACGACCCCACACAATGACCGGTTGTCGCCAAGGAAACGAAAACGCCCCCAGACAATGACAGTGTGCGTCGTGAAAAGCAAACCGCACTGTTATTGTCCAGGTTTCTACTACTCTCCCCAACACCCGACAGTTACTGTCCCCTCACACTCCACAGTTAATGACCCCCTACACCCCACAGTCATGTATATGTAATCCAACACTCCCTACGATGATGTTTATATTTAAACAATGCGGGAAAATTTTGATAAACCACTGGCTTCCTGTCTCCATACAGGCCATTAGAGATAATGATCCTCGGGTAAATTCAGGTTTACCTGAGGACCATTATTCACTCATGTGTGAGTTGGAGTTCTGACACCCCCTCCCCCCAACCCCCCACCAGGCACAACGGCCAGCGTGACGTCATACGACAGTGCAGAGAAGCGGTCGACAATCACCTCCCCGAGCAACGTGTTGTCGCCCTTAACGTCGCCCAACTACGCCACGGGGGAGATAGCCTACACCCTACCGGTCCCGCCCCCGCCCTCGGGGGACCACAACGCCTCCCCAGCCTCGGACCTGGGGCTCTCCCCAGCCTCCCTCCTCGTCGTCTCCCCAGGTGATCATGTCCTCCACCTCTCTAGCTGCTGGGATGGTCCCGGGGCCGGTACACTCACCCTGGGATAGTAGGGTGGCTGCTGGGATGGTCCTGGGGCAGGCACACTCACCCTGGGATAGTTGGGTGGCTGCTGGGATGGTCCCGAGGCCGGTACACTCACCCTGGGATAGTTGATGGCTGCTGGGATGGTCCCGGGGCTGGTACACTCACCCTGGGATAGTTGGGTGGCTGCTGGGATGGTCCCGGGGCCGGTACACTCACCCTGGGATAGTTGATGGCTGCTGGGATGGTCCCGGGGCTGGTACACTCACCCTGGGATAGTTGATGGCTGCTGGGATGGTCCCGGGGCTGGTACACTCTCCCTGTGATAGTTGGGTGGCTGCTGAGATGGTTCCGGGACCGGTACACTCACCCTGGGATATTTGATGGATGCTGGGATGGTCCCGAGGCCGATACACTCACCCTGGGATAGTTGGATAGCTGCTGAGATGGTTCCGGGGCCGGTACACTCACCCTGGGATAGTTGATGGATGCTGGGATGGTCCCGGGGCCGGTACACTCACCCTGGGATAGTTGGATGGCTGCTGGAATGGTCCCGGGGCTGGTATACTCACCTTGGGATAGTTGGATGGTTGCTGAGATGGTTCCGGGGCCGGTATACTCACCTTGGGATAGTTGGGTGGATGCTGGGAGGGTCCCAGGATAGGCACACTCATTTTGGGATAGTTGGTGGCTGCTGGGATGGTCCCGGGATAGGCACACGCACCCTAGGATAGTTGGGAGGCAGCTGGGATGGTCCCAGGGCTGGTACACTCCCCCGGGGATAGTTGGGTGATTATTGGGATGATCCCGGGGCAGTCACACTCACCCTGGGATAGTGGGGTGGATGCTGGGATGGTCCCGGGATAGGCACACTCACCTTGGGATAGTTGGAAGGCTGCTGTGATGGTCCCGGGGCAGGTACACTCCCTTGGGATAGTTGGGTGACTGCTGGGATGGTCCCGAGGCTGGTACACTCACTCTGGGATAGTTGGATTACTGCTGGGAAGGTCTCGGGGCAGGTACACCCACCTTGGGATAGTTGGGTGACTCCTGAAATGGCCCGGGATAGGCACACTCACCCTGGGATAGTTTCGAGGCTGCTGGGATGGTCCCGGAATCGGCATACTCACCCTGGGATAGTTGGGTGACTGCTGGGAATGCACGGGGCTGGTACACTCACCCTGGGATAGTTAGGAGGCTGCTCGGATGGTCCTGGGGCAGGTACACTCACCCTGGGATAGTTGAGTGACTGCTGGGATGGTCCCGGAATAGACACACTCACCAAGGGATAGTTGGGTGACTGCTGGGATGGTCCCGGAATAGACACACTCACCAAGGGATAGTTGGTTGGCAGCTGGGATGGTCCTGGGGCAGGTACACTCACCCTGGGATAGTTGAGTGACTGCTGGGATGGTCCCGGAATAGACACACTCACCAAGGGATAGTTGGGTGACTGCTGGGATGGTCCCGGAATAGACACACTCACCAAGGGATAGTTGGTTGGCAGCTGGGATGGTTCTGGGGCAGGCACACTCACCCTGGGATAGTTGAATGGCAGCTGGGATGGTCCCGGAACAGACACTCTCACTCTGAGTTGGGTAAAAGGTGACTAGAACCGTACGCGAGCTCTTTGACAGGTGTGGCACTTGTGCCACACGTGTCCCAGATGTGCGCAAGGGGGATCCGTCTCATCGTGCGAGAGGTGCCCCGCTCGCATGGTTCTAGTCACCATGTTTTTAATGGAGGGGGGGTTAGGATAGGGTGATTATCTGAACATGTGTAGCAGGTGTGTAGCAAGTGTGCATGTGTGTATGTTGACCTGTTTGCATGATGAAGTGATTGTAAGGGTGTGTGTTGAAAGTGTATGTTTTGCAAGTGTAGAGTTGTATAGATGTGCTTGTATGCTTAGAGTTAAGCTTGGGGCCCCTAGATCTAAGCATGTGGAACAGGTGTGAAGGGATTGGGACTAAGAAGGATACCTTCGCGAGAGGTAACAGGCTCGCTGCATGTCCTTTCTCGCTCTGCCGCTCGCATGCCAGCAACACCCTGCATCACCAGGCCTAGGAGACCGGGTTCAGTACGTGGTAGGTTAGGTTAGGGTTGTTGAGAAGGGGGGCAAAAGGGGATGGGGTGTGGCCTCTCTCACTATCTCTCTCTTTCATTTTCAGTAAGAGAGGATATAGATGAGTGTGCATAGGAGTGTAACATTGATATAATAATGTATTAAGGTGTGGAAGGAATACTCACATAGGTTTTATAGTACCCAAGACATCTGCAGGTCATGTGGTTTCCCTCACCATCTCTTTCCGGATCCTGAGAGAGTGAGAAGGATGGGCGCTCGGGGTATGGAACATCCTAAAACACTTATCACTCTGCTAAGTGACGCCAAAATAATTTGTTCTGGTGCGTTGAGAACCCCATAAGCTGTCTACAAACCCTCACGCAGCCTTGAAGAGTTAAAAAAAAAAAGCACTTCTGTTTAGGTCTTCCCTCTGTCAAGCCTCTGCCAGATCAAACAGATGCTGCTCCATTACACCCATACAAATGTCGATGATGTCGATAGGGGTGATAACCTCACGACAACCGATGAGGAGATGATTTCCTTAACTGCTTAAGGTTGTTTTGTACAAATGGGTAAAGTAATATTTCATGTACATTTGTAGATGACAGAAAGAGGGTGAGTTCACCCCATACATTATCTGAAGAGGCCTGTCCCGGTGAGCCCTCACCAACCACCAGTTTGGCGACTAATGAGCTGCTTTCGATCACAAACTCCCCCTTAACCAACCACATCCGTTGGCATCCACCATCAGCTCCAAGTCTCCCTTCTTGAGGTGTTCATCATCAATCACCAGTCAATTTCTTATATTACTTTTATGCTTATCATTAAAGAGAGGTGCAAACTTAGTTTTGTCAATTTTTCACTAAAGAAGCCCACCGCCACAGGTCAAACACGGGAGCTATGGTCATTTTTTTTTACAGATATACAAGAGTTGTTACATTCTTGTACAGCCACTAGTACGCATAGCGTTTCGGGCAGGTCCCTGGAATACGATCCCCGCCGCGAAGAATCGTTTTTACAACCAAGTACTCATTTTACTGTTGAGTTAAACAGAGGCTACAGTTAAGGATTTGCGCCCAGTAAATCCTCCCCGGCCAGGATATGAACCCATGACAAAGCGCTCGCGGAACGCCAGCGCTTACGACCACTCCCAGTAGAGAGAGGCTGACTAATGCAGAGTATGAGGCCAACCCTTGCTCCCCTACGCCCACACACCCGATGACACCTGCGCCCCTACTCCAAGACCCTCACCTCTCATTTCACCTGCCAATTCCTTAAATCAACTTCTCGCCATAGCTCCATTTGAGTGTCTGTATTTCTTCTTGGGAAACTTGGAAACATATCAGATATATAAGCAGAGAAATTGATGTTACAATGACCAGATTAAGGGAGTGTGTGTTAAACATGGTGATCATATTTTTTTTTTTGGTTTAAAAATACTTTTAATCATCATCCAATATATGCCAGGTATAAGAGGGAGACGCGATCCACACATACAAATTCTCAATTGGATAGTCAGAGTATACATTGAACATGGGGATCATATTTTTTTAGTTGAAAAATACTTTCAATCATCATCCAATATCTGCGAGGTAAGAGAGGGAGACTTAATCCACACATACAAATTCTAAATTGGGTAGTCAGAGTGTGTTGAACATGGGGATCATATTTATTTAGTTTAAAAATATGATCCACACTTTGATGACTGATGACATCACCAGGTGTTACTGACAACACCAAACACCAGGTTGGTGCGGCTCTTTACGTCGTAGAGTCACTTATTAACACAATGTGGATGATTTTTTTATATTTGTAAAATAAACCACAATTTACAAGCAGAAAATCACAAAAAAATAAAAAGAGGAGTACATACATGATACACTGAATACAGTAATACAACATGAAAAGAACCCATGCACAAGAAGAACCAAAAGTGAAGTACACATGATACAAAGCATACAACAAACCCCTATACGGGTACAAAATACATAACAAAAAACAGAACAGTACACATAACCAGCAAAAGAAACACAAAACTTTAATACCAGAAAACAGAACCACACAGGGAACCGTAAGTACAAAAACAACAAAAACTACAAAAAAGACACATACAAATGACCAGAAGGCCGTAAGGACACAATTACATAATATAAATTTTCACCATACCAAACACACAAATACAGCAGCACAACATTACAACCAGCCACTCATAAGACACACGGAGCCGGAAGTACAAAACCACACCCAACCACTCAGAACATATACAGAAAAGACATGGACACACAGAACAACCAGCACCATACAAACACCACAGAAAAACAGAAGAACAGGACACAGCCACAACCAGACACACCAGAACAAACACCTGGACGCACAGGAACTGGAAAGAGACACCCAGACCACACACGCAAACCCCACACAAGCAAACCCACAAACTAAAAGCCAGAAGACGCAGGAACCGGAAAACAAACCCACCCCACCCAGACACACGCAAGCAACCCCACCCCACAATCATGCACCCAGGCACAAGCAACACCACACCATACAGGAATAAGGGAGTAACATATTTCTCAGGGAACTTCCACGACGGATACTTCTGCTTATAAGCCCTCCATATCAAATACTCGTGTTCGGTAGGGGAACGGCCCTCACTCTGCCGCGAGCACGTCATAAACTCAGGGACCACCAAACCCGGCGGAAGCGATCGTCCCCAACCAGAGGACACCGCAGACAAGGAAAGAGGCAGGGGAGGCAGGAACACCTTCGCTGTGGAAGCAGGAGATATTGAAACAGAGTGCAGAGGCTGCCGAGGCAGCAACACCGCCCCCGACAAAGCAGGAGCCACAGAAAAAACGGCCATAGATGTGATAGGCGGCAAAACCGCTGCCAATGAAAC